AAATTGAGAACGGGTTCAGCCAAGCTATTAAGCTCAGTACCGAGCTGCTAGCCAATGCTAAGTTCATTCGGGTGAGGCAAAGCAGTAGGAGAAACATCAGGTGGATATTCAGGTGAATGAGAACAGTTGTAGCCGGCTAGTAAGCTCAGCACTGAGGTGTTGTGTAACGTGAGGTTCATCCAGGTGAAAGGTCAGATTCGTTGTGGCGAAGCGTCCGTCAGACGCACTGAGATGAACCTTTTTCTGACTCCCCTCAGGTGAGGGTGTAAGCGAACTGTCAAGTCGTGCCTCTCTTCCCTTATTGCCCTTCCCTTACGTCATCCATCCCTACCAATGCAGGAGAAGCGCCTAATTGGCAAGTACTTTGACGAGATCAGCCAGGACACGGGCAAGTACGTCTTTGGCGTGGACGACACGCTCAAGGCACTCGAGATGGGCGCCGTGGAGACATTGATCGTGTGGGAGAACCTAGATGTGAACCGATACACGCTCAAGGTGAGTGAGACGGCACACTTGGTATCAGGATGACATTCGTGGGGTTAAGGGGTCACGTACACATGGTATCAGCGCTTGAGATGGGGGCTGTGGAGGCGCTCACTGTGTGGGAGAACCTGGATGTGAACTGATACACGCTCCAGGTGAGTGAGACGGCACATAAACATGGAATTAAGAGGTCAAATACACATGCTCTGTGCACTCGAGATGGGCGCCGTGGAGACGCTGATCGTGTGGGATAACTTGGACATCAACAGATACACGCTCAAGGTGAGGGATGCGTGGCATGCTGGTGGTAGAACGGGATCAGGAGCCACACACGCATGTGTGTGTCATATCAATGCTCTACATGGGCGCTGGGGAGACGACCGGACGCACCCCCTCACCCCCTGTTTACCCCTCTTCATCCCTTTCCACCGCTCATCCCTCCACAGAACGCAGTAACGGGCGAGATTGTGATAAAGAACCTGAGCAAGGAGCAGGAGGCGGACCAGTCGCACTTCCGGGACGCGGAGACCGGGGCAGAGCTGGAGGTGCAGGAGAAGACGTCCCTCTTGGAGTGGTTTGCAGAGGGGTACAAGAAGTTCGGGTGCACGCTGGAGTTTGTGACCAACAAGAGCCAGGAGGGCTCGCAGTTCTGCCGCGGGTTCGGCGGGATTGGCGGGATCTTGAGGTACCAGCTGGATATGAGAACGTTCGACGAGGCGAGCGACGATGACGCGGTGTACGATGACGACTCGGATTAGGGCGGGGGGAGAGAGTTGGGCACGGAGGGCGAGGGGGGCATGGAGGGCAAGAAGGGCAAGGAGGGCAAGGGGGGCAAAAGAGAAGACGGTGAGGGACGGAGAGTAGGAACGGAAGGAGGAGTGGAATGAGGGCTCTCTGAGGTGCCAGCTGGACATGAGAACGTTCGATGAGGCGAGCATCGATGACGCTGTCTATGGAAGTGACTCGGATTAGGGTGGGGCGAGGGGGAGGGTTAGAGGGCAGGGAGTGGGGAGGGTGGGGGAGGGGGGGAGGTGGAGTGGAAGGAGTGTAAAGAGGGCAGGAGGGGGCATCCTGCAGTGTGAGCTGGACATGAGGTTGGGGGGCATCCTCGGATGAGGCAATTGGTTGGGTTGTGATGCGCTGTATGATGACAGTTCAGCTTAGGTTAGGGAGGGAGAGATGTGCGACGAGGGATAGGAGGGTGGGGAGATGGAGGTGAGGTGGGCAAGCAGCATGAGATGCTGAGCGTTGCGATGCTTGGTACGCTGGTGCTGGATGGTGAGCTGCGGTGGAGGCAGCTGCTGCTGCTGCTGCTGCTGGGTTGGTTTGGCTGCTGCTGGACGATCTGCGGCTGCGGTGGAGGCAGCTGGGCTTGTGTGGCACCAGGGAGGTGGGAGATGAATAGTGCGAGGGAGGTGAGGAGGGCAGCAGGAGCGTGGTTGTGGTGTGGAGTGAGCGGGGCACCTGTGTGATCGTGAGGCATGACCGTCCGTGCTGGCAGCCGGTGCTGGCATGGCATGGCATGGCTGTGTTGGTGGTTTACATGCGGGAAGATCACTCTTTGTGATCTGCTTTCTTCAGTGGTCCCTCCGTCTCGCACCGCTGTGATCCTCTGCTCATAGTGTGTCAGACTAAGTTAGTGGTAGTGATGTTATGGTGGTGGGTAGAGCGACTGTGCATTTTGGAATGTGCTCCACCTGCACCTCTGCTCAGTGGTGGTGTGTGGAATACAGGACGAGGCTCCTCCAGCCCAATATGGCATGCTTGGCGTTTTCCTGGGGTGGGTGTCCTTGCCAGCTGCTGAACAATAGTATGTGGCTTCCTTCCAAAGCGACGACCAAGGCTCCCTTCAGGGTGCACGACATGAATGCAGTTCGTATGATCCTGAGTTAGTTCTGGACTGGTTATATTTTTGTAGGCTCCTTATCCTGAACCGCGAGTCCCCAAGCAAGTGTAACTGCATTGTCGTCCGATTTGTTTCTCATGAATTTTGTTAGTCATGCTACCCGCTCTACCCATCATGGACAGTATTTTGTCACCCTTTCATGGATGCTCTGTCATGTAACTAGAAATGTTTAGCAACCTAACGTTGTGTTGTACAATTCTTCGGATACTGTTGTGTTGTACAGTTGCAGTCTTCACCGAATACATGGTGCTGTCAGCAGCACACGTCAGTTACGTGACTCGCTGACGCGTTGGTCGTTCGGATACTCTGCGACGCGAGAGATTTTCTGTGATGTCATCATTTTTGCGTCTGACGCGAATCCAGCAAGGCTGGGGCTGAGATTGCAGGTCCACTTCTGCACCACATGAACAAAATATCAGCAACTGTCACAAAACAGAATGTGTGATGTCCTTTCAGTGCTGCCCTGGCCTCTCGCTAACAGGGTAATGATTCTTAATGTCAAGAAATTAAGAGTAAATTTTCCATCGATTCCGTTTTTTTACGGTGTGATTTTTTCCCCGAATCCGTCCAACTTACGGAAACGATTTTCGCGCGATGCCTTTGCCCAACGAGTTACTCTTTTTTTTTAATCCGTACGGGCTATGCTTGTTTGTTGGGTTATCTGTAGGGGTTAGCAAACACCCCCGCCCCCCCCGGCTTCTTGATTCCCTGCCAGCCGAATTTGTAGCGGCCGATTCCTTTTGGTAGCGGGTTTTTTTTTGGGGGGATTCCGTCTGTTAACGGATTTATCTAGAACCGATTCCGTCCCTTCCGGAATACCCTGGGGCTTAGCGAGAGGCCTGGTGCTGCCCTACCAGCTGTAATGACGAATTATGCCGAATTACACTTTCGTTTTCCCTTCCCACAGGTGACGACCACGTGCGAAATTTCTTGGACTAGAAAATGCAACGCTGCCTGCTTTTATCATTCTGGCGTGTGGGCTTGTTGAGAGTTATGCGAAGTGACGCTGTGCTGGCAACAGAGGATCATGGTTCCACATGGGGTCCAGTCCAGTTTGTTGGTCGATTCTTCTTCTCCAACTCCTCTCCCTCCTGATTGGTTAGGGAGTGTCTTTTCGAGTGTCCAAGGATACGACCATGAATCCTGCTTGCTTTAATACGTAACGCGATTGGACGGGACTGCGCTCCCTAATCCTGCAGAAGACAGACCATTTCTTTCTGCGAGCAGGGCTAGGTGGGCAGGGAAGCAAATTGTGCTGCCCAGCACTTTTGACGTGTCCATGGTTGGGGCTACATTGGGGGTAATGGGAAGGTGGCATGACTGTGCTAGGGACTGGTTCCTGGGGTCGTAAAGGAAAATATTACGGCAGTAGTGTGTTCAGAAATTCAACTTTTGCGAAGTTGCCTAGCTCTGACTTCATCACTTTGGAAAATATTGATCCCTACATTTCATCACCGTAATGTAAGTTTTTTTTGTATCCTATTAATGATGGGTACGTGAAGATTTGCCCCATTATTGCCTCCTTGCTGTGAAATAGGGGAAGTAGCCCCGCCCACCAGCATAAGCTCCCACGTGGCGAGTTTATCCCATCCTGTCTGACGTAATGACGTCTTCAAATTCGTGTTGGCGTAGCGGCCAATAGCCATTCGTCAGCTAGTCTGTTCCCGCTGAGGGAGGGCTGTTACTGATTCCATCTCTGTTTCTCGGCATTTGACTGAAATGGACTGGTGGTTCTTCCGCTCTCGGCGGGAGTGCTTCGAGATACTTCCGCACAGCACTGCCCGCGGAGATTTTCCGCGCGCTCCTTGGAGCAAAGCAGCCTCCGTGGGTGCTCTTCCATTCTGTTCCTCCATCGATTGGCGGGACCATCAAGGATTGGCGTGGCGGAGCACTTGAAACTGTACACTGATGCGGCGAATGTGGGCGTGGATGCACTGGGATGCTGCTGCAGCATCTTCTTTCTGCCCCGTCTGCTTGCAATCTGACGGCTGGCCGTCTGCGCTGGCATGGAATCAGGACTGCTTGCGCGGAGATTTTCAGAGGGTGAGACGCCAGCGCAGCGGGCGAAAGCTGACGCAAGCAGGCCTTCTCCCGCGCAGTCGCCGCAAAGCGCGCCAGAGTATCACACGCAACCTCCATTCCACAAAACCACTCCCCCTCTCCCTGCGCCTCTCGTTTCCCCCAGCCTCACCTCACCCGTTCGCCCGCCTTTGTAGTCTGGTCTCATCTGGTCGTACAACCCACCACCACCACCACCACCACTGATCCGTTTATCTGAACGTACAACCCATTGCATTTCACCAGACTGGGAGGTGCACTTGGACAGGAGCAGAGAGATGCATGAGTGAGGCGGCCATTGCCCCAATTCACTTCAGTCCTCGCATCCACACCAAACGACATGAGCACTATGCCCTGCTGTCGCCCATAATTCCGCCTCGCTGCCACGTCCACCGTATCCTTTCTATCGTGGGACGCATAACCGTTTCCAACTGCTACCCTACTTTTTCCAGAATTCTCGCCCGCCTCCATTTCTCGTGACTCTCTCACCTTGCTTGTACGTATTAGAAGCCAGTTCGTAATATCAACGATCAATCCTCAGCCCAGCCTGTTTCATTCTAGAAGTGACACTAATGGGGCTTCCAATGAAGCACGCTCGACCCCCCGTGAACGACGCCCAATGTCCGCGCCTGGCTGCGAGGCTCCGTCGACGACGCCATGTGCGACGTCGCACGCTCGTTCCAGTCGCAGGCGAACGACATCCGCGAAGACGACCAACCCGAAAACACTGCGTCGCTCCCCAAATCCTACGGCAGCCATTTCCCGTTCAGCATCTCCCGCTTCTTCTCGCGGAAAGGCTCCCAGCGACCGCTTATCTCGCGGGCCGACCATCCCGATGCCGCGGCGGATCTCGCGAGCGGGTTTTGAGCTGGGCGCCACGGAGGACGCGGCGGTTCGGCACCACCTGAGCTGCATGCCAGCCGAGTGAGTATTCTTCCTCGCTCGAGTGAGCGCTGTGAGAATGGTCAGGCAGTAGTTTCGTTTCTCCCCCCTGATTGCCCATTTTTCCCGAGAGGTGCAGCGGAAAGGGGGCAGCGGAGGAGAGAGTGGAGAGGACATCCCGGCGAGATCTCCGGGAGAGCGCGGAGAGGGGGGACGGCGGCGAGAGAGCCATCTGCCGCAGCTTCAGTCCGTGCCTGTCCGACTGGACGAGCAAGAAGAGCCGTTCTTATCTGACCCATGTCTCTCCCCCCTTTCCTCTACCCTCTCTGTCCGTCCCTGCAGCTATGTTTCAAAGAACTATCCGCGAGCCGACGTTCTGCTGCACATGGAGCTTCTTAAAGAGGCCTCAGCGCTGAAGGAGGGCGTCCCTGCTCTGCGACTCGATATGCGTGCGACAGATAGCGGCGACTCGACGACGACGGGCGACGAGAGCGAAACGGACGACTCGTCGATCGGCGGGTTCTCGTTATCGTCAGTGGACGACGTTTCGTGCACGGGCATTATGAATGTCGCCTTCGCTTGTAGCACGCGCGTCTGCAAGCGGAGCTTGACCGCGGCATTCCAGCGCACTGGCGTACGCGTTTTAGACTGCTCCTCGTTTCGCACAGTCCACGGATACACTTTGGGATTTTTAACCGTCCGAGCGGCGATTTCGCAAATATCGAAGCGGCAAATAGAGGAGATATTTACGGCCGCCGGCAAGCAGACCTCACGACCCCGTACCGCTACCGCCCTCCCCACCACAATCCGCAGCTGCCAGTCAGAAGTGTCCACGTCAGCGCTCGATAGACTAACCCTAACTCCCGACAGTTCGCGGAAGCCGCCCGCTGGTCCCTGCCTCAGGCCTCGCACCCCGTCGTCCAAGAGCGTCGCAGGCGTCGCAGGCGACGCCAACGACCTCTTGCAGGTGTTACTCTTCAACAGTCGCAGCCCGTCCAACAACTTCAGCGAGTTCCTCCTCAACCCGCTTAAGCTCGAAATCGGCGCGCTTATCGCCGTCGGCGCGTCCGGCGAGGTGCGTCGCGGCAGCTACGCGGGGAAGGCGGTTGCAGTGAAGATAATGAAGGGTGACACTATTGATCGCCACGCCAGCGCGACGGAATTCCGCCAGGAGGTGCTGACGCTGATGTCGTGCGACGAGTGCCCGCGACTGCTCGAGTTCGTCGGCGTGTGCCTCGACACGCGCCGTCGCATGTGCATCGTCACGCGACTCATGGAAGGTGGCACGCTCAGCGACCTCGTGCGACGCCGCCACGGCGATCGCCTCCCGCTCGGCGACGCCCTGCGAATCGCGCACGACGTCGCAGAAGGCATGGCGTTCCTCCACCGCCGCGGCATGATCCACCGCGACCTGAAATCCGCCAACGTCCTCCTCGACTCCGCTGGCCGCGCTGTCGTCGGCGATTTCGGCGTGGCGCGGCTTAAAGGCGACCGCGGCGACATGACGAAGGAGGTCGGAACTTACCGCTGGATGGCGCCTGAGGCGTTCGGCACGAGCGCGTGGCACGTGACGCACAAGAGCGACGTGTACAGCTTTGGCGTCGTGCTCTGGGAGCTTGTCGCGTGCCAGGTACCGTTCGAGGACTACACCCCGTTACAAGCAGCAGTCGCGGTGGCGCTTAACGGCTTGCGGCCGGCGATTCCGGCGGAGTGCCCCGCGGGGCTGCGGGGGCTGATCGAGCGGTGCTGGGACAAGTGCCCCGAGGCGAGACCCGAGTTTGACGAGGTGGTGAGGGAAATCGCGGCACAGCAAGAGCAGGCTTGCCCGTGAAAGACGACGTGCGGTGGAGAGTGGTGGGGTGACTGGTAGCAGTGGTGGTGCTGCTGGGGAGGCAGTGGAGGTGTAGGCACGGTGCAGGGAGGAGTGACGCAGGCATAGTGGGCTGAGGGGCGAGAGTCTCCCAGATACATGGCAATGGAGGTGATGCAGCAGCACATTGGAACGGAGAGTTGAGAAGGGATATGGGGATGGTGATGAGAATTTCCATGGGGATGTGCAGCCAGCAGTCATTGTTTATACAGAGAGCAGACGGTATGCGAGATGCAATTGCCGCATCGTCTGCTGCTCGACTCCTCTCAATCGTGTGTTTCACAAATGCCCTCTGTTACAGCTAAAGAGGAGCACAAGGTTGACATGGTGACAGGGCTAGGTGGTGTGGCATGCACTCAAGTGCAGAAGCCTTTGTACAGAGGTTATCCAAGACTTACCATGTGAAGACGAAGCATATCATAGTTAGCCAGCTCAGGCAGCCTTAAGAGACTGCTACCTTTTCCATGTGAGCTCCATTTTGTGGCCATTGTTCTAACATATAAAAGCTCTTGCATAGGTGCCGAAACAGTCAAATACTGTATGCACTTGTGTCACAACATTTAGCTCTGTTGTGTTGCACGATTTTGCTTTGTTGGAAGATGGGAGATTGATTAGCATGATATGGGCAACTACTTCTCTGAATGCACTTGAATTCGTTCGAAGTCACTCTGTTCTGTCGGGTGTTCCGCTTGTAGCGAGGGAGCTGGTGTGGCCTTGGTGCGGCGGAGATGATGGCGAGGTGAGGTGATTTGGAGCATCCTCAATCTTGGGAAGCTTGCTCGATGGATTGGTGAATGAGAAAAAGGTTCTTCATGTGGATGACCACGTGGTAAACTGACACCTGGCCGGTGACTTCAGCGCTCCGACTTTCGGCTGGATTGTGACACAGGCTGGTCGCAAAACACCGTGTGATTAGGGGCCTCTGTCAACTGGCCGCGTGGAAAGTTTATCGTGTGCTGCGCGTGGTCGCCGCCGAGATGATGGGGGCACGCTGATTTGCCGTAAAACCGTGCGGGGCAGCTTCGGGTTTAGCGGAAGCAGCAATGCAGCTCACGTGGAAACGAAAGAGGCTCGCTTTGTGCCAGACCTCACTACTACGCCAATATTTTCCTGCCACATCAGCGCTGATTTCTCAGCCCTAGACACCTTCTACTACCGAAGCTGAGAAATCTGGTGTGCGAGCGAGGCCCTACGGGCGGAGCCCAAGTCAGCGCACCGCACCACTTCCCGCGTCCTCCGAACCAGCCTGCAGCCACTTGGCAAAGTCGCAGATCCCTGACCAACCAGCGTCCCCATAGACCTGCGCCCAGATCTCCCCCCTTCTGCAGCCCGCTCCGCCTGCGGTCCCCCGCCTGAACCAACAATCTAGTCGCGCTCCCCCTGATTCCGCCTGTCGTCGATAGCCTGGGGCCTGCGCTTGGGGCATGCGCTGGGGCACTCTCGTATCTCTCGCGTCCATCCATCTGCGCTTGGCTTGGGTCTGTGTTTGCATTGCGTCTCTCTGCTGCCGTAGTGCCAATGGCAACTACGCATTCCATAAGCCGTTGCCAGCCATTACTACATGTTTCCATTAGTGCTGGTCATGCTCCACTATTGGGAGAGCTGCTGCTGCGTAATCACCATAATCACCAGCGTCTCGAATCCTGAAGCGGTAGATTGGATTGAGCTCTGCTCGGTTGTCGTGTCGTCGCGTCGCTTCCTCTCTGAGTTTCTCGACGGTCTCGAATTCGCTCGTTTCATCAGATTCTAATCTTTCGCCTTGGTCATCGATTTTCGCGTACATATTTATGCCAGTGCCTCTCGCGACGCCAGTTAATCCGTGACGCTCTTCAGGCACACCAGCCGTTGACTCCACGCAATCATGGCGTCGCTGCGGCAATGTCTATCGCCAGCAGTCGCATCCGTTCAGGAGCCATCGCTCGCGTCGTTCCGTGATCATCGCGTCACGCAATTTCAGACGCCTTTCCTCGGCCTCTCATTGTGCAATGTCAATGTCTCATCGTCCAATGCCGCGCAAATCCCGGCAGCGCTTCACACACCGATCCCCACTTCCATCGCCTCTCGCGTCCCCTGTCAGCGCCTCGCGATCACCGCCAAGGCGCATCAGCCGCATCAGCAGCATCAGCAGCCGTCGAAGAAGGCCGGATCAGGATCTAGATCAGGATCAGTATCAACGGCTAAGATCGCTTCTCGCCGCCAGACGAACACCCGGGTCGCGGTTCACGGATTCCAGGGCGGGAATCGTACGGACGGCGAGGCGTTATCTGACGAGGACGCGATGGGCGCGGGGCGCGCGGAGGATGCGCGCGACGCGCTCAAGGAGGTGCAGTTCGTGCGGTGGTTTCGCGAGGCGTGGCCGTACATCCAGGGCCACCGCGGCAGCACCTTCGTCATCGTCGTCCCCGGGGACGTTGTCGCCAACCGCCCCACCTTCGACTCCATCCTCCAGGTTCGACTCCATCCTCCAGGTTCGACTCCATCCTCCAGGTTCGACTCCATCCTCCAGGTTCGGCTCCATCCTGCTGGTTCGGCTCCATCCTGCAGGTTCGGCTCCATCCTGCAGGTTCGGCTCCATCCTGCAGGTTCGGCTCCAACCTGCCGGTTCGGCTCCACCCTGCAGGTTCGGCTCCATCCTCCAGGTTCGGCTCCAACCTACAGGTTCGGCTCCAACCTGCAGGTTCGGTTCCAACGCGCGGGTTGGGCTCCATCCTGCAAGCTCGGCTCCATCCTGCAGGTTCGGCAGCGTTTGTCCATTCTGCACGTCGCAACGCTGATCTATTTGGGAATCGTGGCAGCCTAGAACGGCTGAAAGGAGCCGACGCTTGCTGCGCATTCGCCGCATCCGTCGCATCCGTCTCATTCGCCGCATTCGTCAATTCCGCATCCGCCTCCATTCGCGCTCCTGCTCCTCCCTCCCCCTCCCATCCCCCCTTGCTCAGGACGTGGCATTGCTGCACGGTCTAGCGGTGCGCTTCGTGCTCGTGCCCGGCAGCCACGTGCCGATTAAGCAGCTCTTTGAGGGGCGCCCTTCTTATCCCCTCCCGCTCTCCCCCCGCTCGCTCTCACTCCGCGGCCCCCACCCCCTCCCCCTCCTGCCAATGACAGGACGTGGCATTGCTGCACGGTCTAGCGGTGCGCTTCGTGCTCGTGCCCGGCAGCCACGTGCCGATTAAGCAGCTCTTTGAGGGGCGCCCTTCTTATCCCCTCCCGCTCTCCCCCCGCTCGCTCTCACTCCGCGGCCCCCACCCCCTCCCCCTACTGCCAATGACAGGACGTGGCATTGCTGCACGGTTTAGGGGTGCGCATCGTGCTCGTGCCCGGCAGCCACGTGCAGATTAAGGAGCTTCTGGAGGAGCGCGGCGTGGCGTCCGTGTTTCACGGCGCGTACCGCGTGACGGACGCGGAGGCGCTGGCGGCCGCCATGGAGGCGTCGGGGCGCACGCGCGTGGACATCGAGGCGAAGCTGTCGCGCGGGCCGGTGATTCCAGTACTGCGGCGGCACGGCGAGAGCGAGAAGTGGCACGAAGTGGGCATCAGCGTCGCGAGCGGCAACTTCGTGCATGCCAAGGTATCGCGGGGTCGGGTCGGATCACACGATCGCGGCAACTTCTTTCATTACCCTGGCTCTGTGACTTGGGAGTCTGTCATTACCCTGGCTGGCGTCCGTTCATGGTTCAGCCTGCATGTTATCCGTGGCGTCTGTCATTACCCAGCCAGGGCGGCATTCGTGCCTGCATTATCAGCACCACGCCATCCCTGCCATCTTCCATCTTCACTTCTGCCCTCTCAATCCGGCTCTGTGTGGTGTTGTGCGGTGGTGTGCGGTGGTGAGCAGCGGCGGGGCGTGGTGGGCGGCGTGGACTACGGGGCGACGGGCGAGGTGAAGCGCGTGGACGTGCCGCGGATCAGAAGCCGCCTGGACAGCAGCTGCGTCGTGCTGCTGAGCAACCTCGGGTTCACCCCGGCTGGCGAAGTGCTCAACTGCAAGTGAGTGCTGGTATCGCTGTGAACAAGAGACAAATGGGCTGCCCCCCCCTTCCTCTGCAGCACCTATCAGGTTGCTACCGCCTGTGCCATCGGCCTGGGGGCGGACCAGCTCATCGGCCTGCTGGACAGTGCAGAACCATGACGTGCCATCCTCTCCCCTTCCGCCCTTGCCCTCCCAGCGCCTATGAGGTGGCTACAGCGTGCGCCATCGGGCCGAGGGCCGACAAGCTCATCTGCCTCTTGGACGGCGCAGTGATGGACGACCGGTTGGTGGCTCACACACCCTTCTCCCCCTTCTCCCCCTTCTCCCCCTTCTCCTCCTTCTCCCCCTTCTCCCCCTTCTCCCCCTTCTCCCCCTTCTCCCCCTTCTCCCCCTTCTCCCCCTTCTCCCCCTTCTCCCCCTTCTCCCCCTTCTCCCCCTTCTCCCCCTTCTCCCCCCCCCCTCTCCCCCCTCTCCCCCTTCTCCCCCTTCTCCTCCTTCTTCCCCCCTCTTCTCTCGTCCCCCGTCCCAGCAGGTACCAAGTGGCTACCGCCTGTGCCATCGGCCTGGGGGCGACAAGCTCATCTGCCTGCTGGACGGCGCAGTCGTGGACGACCGGGGCTGGCTCCGAGGGGCTCGACCCCCGTTGCCTTCCCCTCCTTCTCCCGCCTCCCCCCTCCCACCTTCACCTGCCCCCCTTCCCTTGCAGCACGTTCGAAGTGGCCACAGCGTGCGCCGTAGGTCTGGGAGTGGAAAAGCTCATCTGCCTGCTGGACGGCGCAGTGATGGACGACCAGGGGCAGCTCAGTGCCACTCAGTCCGAATCCCTTCCCTTGCTCCCCTCCCTTGCAGCACGTACGAAAGTGGCTACCGCCTGTGCCATCGGCCTGGGAGCCGACAAGCTCATCTGCCTCTTGGACGGCGCAGTGATGGACGACCGGTGGCTGACCCCCCCTCTTCCCCCTTCTCCCTTCTTCTCCCTTCTTCTCCCTTCTTCCCCCTTCTTCTCCCTTCCCCACTCCCAGCACGTACGAAGTAGCAACGGCGTGCGCCATAGGGCTAGGGGCTGACAAGCTCATCTGCCTGCTGGACGGCGCAGTGATGGACGACAGGGGGCGCCTCATCCGGTGGCTGACGCTGCAGCAGGCGGATGTGATTATAAGGAACCGCGCCACGCAGAGCTACACCGCCGCCGACTATGTCAAAGCCGTTGCCGGGGAGGAGTATATTAAGAGCCTAGGGCTGGTGGGCGCGCAGGGGGCGGGGGGGGGGAGGGGGAAGGGGAGGGGGCGAGAAGGCGAGGCGGAAGAAGGGGAAGCGGGGGAAGAAGAAGAGCGGGGGGGGATGGGAGGAGGGAAGCCGAGGAGAGCAGCAGGAGGAAGAGGAGGAGGATGAGGTCGCAGCGAGTGTGGAAAGGTGGAAGGCGCAGAGGGCACTCTACAGCATGAGCTTCGAGAAGCCCGGGCCACCACTGCCGTCGCCGTCGTTCACTGGCGGGCGGGAAGGGGGGGCGTGGGGCGAGAGGGGCAATGGGCGGGGCAGTGGAGCGGGCGTGGTGGACGTGAGGGAGAACTGGGGGAATGCGCCCACGGATTCGGGGTTTGGGGCGAGTGCGGGGCGGAATGGGGGATGGGGGCGGAATGGGGGGAATGGGCGGAATGGGGGGAACGGAGGGGGGAACGGGAGGGCGGAGGAGCGGAAGGGGTTTGCGGTGGGCGGGGAGGAGCGGTCAGTGCATCGATATGGGTTCCTGTCCGAGCTGACTGCCGCTGTTTATGCGTGCCGGGTAAGAGGGTAAGAGGGTAAGAGGGTAAGAGGTAAGAGGGTAAGAGGTAACCTGAGGGTGGGTTAGGTGCATATGAGGGTGTGAGAGAGTGCACTGGTATGGGTTCCTGTCAGAGCTGACCGCATCCGTGTATGTGTGCTGGGTGAGAGGGTGCATCATGGGCACATTGCTTATGTGGCCCGTAAACGCCCCTTGTATGCATGCATGCCTATGCAGGGCGGTGTGCGGCGAGTGCATGTGCTGGACAGTGCAGTGGAGGGCACGCATGGCATATGTTTCCTTTACTTCCCCTTTTTAAGTGTACCTCACTCGTCATCGCCCCTTTTCTGTTTGACTCTACAGGGCGGTGTGCGCCGAGTGCATCTGCTGGACAGTGTAGTGGAGGGCACTCTGCTACTGGAGCTGTACACGCGAGATGGGGTCGGCACCATGGTCTCAAGGTGCGGAGAATTCGCGCCTTCACACATGGTGGGCAGCAGCAGTGCAACCCAACCCAATATTGCTGTGCTGCAGCAGGGCCATGGAACCAATATTGCGCAATATTGGGTTGGGTGATACGATGCGTGAGCCTGTGAATTGGTGTTGCCTCGCACCTTCTTCTCTCACAGCCCATCCTTCCTCCGTTTGCATTACAGCGACCTGTACAAGTTCACCCGGGTGGCGCATGTCACAGGCATGCCGGGCATGAAGGCGCTGCTGCAGCCTCATCCGTGTGCGTCTTCTTCCCTCTCGTCCCATATTTCCTCCCCCACCCCCCGCTCCTCCCCCACCCCCCGCTCCTCCCCCTCGCAGCGATCTATACGAGGGCACGCGGGCAGCGCAGGTGACGGACATGCCGGGCATCAAGGCGCTGCTGCAGCCGCTGGAGGCAGCTGGCGTGCTGGTGGCGCGCGGGGACGACCAGGTGAGGGGACGACCAGGTGAGGAGGCGAGTAGGTGAGGAGGCGAGCAGGTGAGGAGGCGAGTAGGTGAGGAGGCGAGCAGGTGAGGAGGCGAGCAGGTGAGGGGGCGAGCAGGTGAGGAGGCGAGCAGGTGAGGAGGCGAGCAGGTGAGGAGGCGAGCAGGTGAGGAGGCGAGCAGGTGAGGAGGCGAGCAGGTGAGGAGGCGAGCAGGTGAGGAGGCGAGCAGGTGAGGAGGCGAGCAGGTGAGGAGGCGAGCAGGTGAGGAGGCGATTAGGTGAGGAGTCGAGCAGGTGAGGAGGCGAGTAGGCGAGGAGGCGAGCAGGTGAGGAGGCGAGCAGGTGAGGAGGCGAGCAGGTGAGGGGGCGACCAGGTGAGGGGGGACCAGGTAAGGGGGCGAGCAGGCGAGGAGGCGAGTAGGTGAGGAGGCGAGCAGGTGAGGAGGCGACCAGGTGAGGGGGCGACCAGGTGAGGGGGCGACCAGGTGAGGGGGCGACCAGGTGAGGGGGCGACCAGGTGAGGGGGCGACCAGGTGAGGGGGGACCAGGTAAGGGGGCGAGCAGGTGAGGGGGGACCAGGTAAGGGGGCGAGCAGGTGAAGGGACGAGCAGGTGAGGGGGGGACTGTGCGAGCTTTTGCGTTTCTCTGCTAGTTAGTGACTTCCGTGGGGAGTCTCGGTGAGTTTCTGGAGGGGTCAGGCTTGCTGGCGGCGTGAGGGGTCGAGCAGGTGATGGGGAGACTGTGTGTGCTTGAGTGTGTGCGCATGTGTGCATATGTGCTACAGGCCAAAAAGGGGGTGGGGGGAGGTATGGGTGGCTGAGAGGGGTGGCCACACCGTCGCATGCAGGGCTTTCTCGCGACTTTCTATTCCCCACCATCTCGCCTCGTGATGACTGCATGTACCCCTCGCAGCTGTGCAGTGATCACTGTGGTGGTGGTGGGGAGCTGCGCATCTTGTCTACCCCTGCAGTGATCTACCCTTTTCACAGTGCTGGGGAGGGACGGCCACACCTTAGCATGTGCTGAAGGCCACACCTTAGCATGTGCTGAAGGCCACACCTTAGCATGTGCTGAAGGGCACACCTTAGCATGTGCTGAAGGCCACACCTTAGCATGTGCTGAAGGGCACACCTTAGCATGTGCTGAAGGGCACACCTTAGCATGTGCTGAAGGCCACACCTTAGCATATGCTGAAGGCCACACCTTAGCATGTGCTGAAGGCCACACCTTAGCATATGCTGAAGGCCACACCTTAGCATGTGCTGAAGGCCACACCTTAGCATGTGCTGAAGGGCACACCTTAGCATGTGCTGAAGTGCACATCGCTGACCTTGCACCATTCTCTCCCTCGTTCCCTTGCTGTGCCCCTCTCAGCTGCGCAAGGAGCTGCCCTACTTCACGGTGGTGGAGAGGGATGGCCAAGCCATAGCGTGTGCAGCGCTCTTCCCCTTCCCCTCGGCGCGCATGGCGGAGGTCGCTGCCTTTGCCGTCTCGCCCGCCTCCAGAGGTCATGGGCGGGGCGACAACCTGCTGGGTAAGTGATGGGTGTGATGGGTGTGATGGGTGGGGCATGGGGATGGGTGGGGCATGGGGATGGGTGGGGGGGAACGTCGGGAAGACTCGATTTGCCGGTAAGAAAATGCAGCTCCTCCCCTTCCCCTCAGCGCGCATGGCGGAGGTTGCTGCCTTTCGCCGTCTGGCCCGCTTCTAGAGGGCACGGGCGCCGGGACGGGCCGCTTTTGCTGCCCATCACCATGCATTCCTCCATTCTTGTGCGCCTGTCCCAGCGTCTATCAGCTCCCATCGCCTGCCCTCACCCACATGCTCCTCACTGCTCCTCCTCTCCTCACCCCGCCCTCCGCTGCAGCCTGCATGGACAAGTGCGCTGTGTGCATGCTCCTATTGAGACAGACTCACAAGGAGCAATGCACCTCCACGCTGCCTCCTCCCCTCTCCTCCCCTTCCCCCCCCTCTCCCCCCCGTTCCATCTGCAGCGTACCTTGAGAAGCGTGCAGTGGACATGAACATGGAGAATCTCTTCCTGGGTCGTCTTACGAACAGCCTCCTCCCGGTTTCCTCCCTTGACAACCCCTCCCCCTCCCCCTCCCCTGCAGCGTACCTGGAGAAGCGCGCAGTGGACATGGGCATGGAGAAGCTCTTGTTGACACGACTCACAAGGAGCCAGGCACCTCAATGCTGCCTCCTCCCATATCTTTCCCCCTCCCCCCCCCCCCTCCCGTGCAGCGTACCTGGAGAGGCGCGCAGTGGACATGGGCATGGAGACGCTCTTGTTGACACGACTCACAAGGAGCCATGCCCCTCAATGCTGCCTCCTCCCCTCTCCTTCCCCCCCCCCTCCCCTGCAGCGTACCTGGAGAGGCGCGCAGTGGACATGGGCATGGAGAAGCTCTTCCTCATGACCACCCGCACTGCCGACTGGTGAGACAACGGCTCTCTCTGCACTGCATGCTTCGTCCAGCGACTACACACTAGCAGAGTTGACACTAGCTGCCCAAGTTGTCAGTTGAAAGTGGAGAGTGTCCAGCTCTCATCTCACATGCACTACCCCGTGTCTGCCTCGGGTTTGTGCATCACAGCTTTGCCCCATGCGAGCTGGAGAGGCTGCCCATGTTCACCCATCCCCCCTCCAAATCATCGTTGCCTCTCACATCCCCTGTGCCCCAGGTTTGTGCACCGCGGCTTTGCCCCGTGCGAGCTGGAGAGGTTGCCGGAGGAGAAGCTGAGGAAGGTGGATCGAAGTCGCGGGTCCAAGAGCTTTGTCAAGGACCTGGAGGTGAGCGATGAGGAGGACACGGACAGCGAGGAGGAGTGGGACGATGCCGGGCTGCCTACCGATCTCCCCAAGTATTCTTAGGCATTTTTTGCTCGGCTGATGTGGTGTAAGTTGAGGACGTCCATAAAGGCTCCTACATGAATGCTGTACTGAAGGGCAATAAGACGTTTTTTTTCAACGAAGCCACCTCGAGCACCAGTTCCACATTGTGAAAGTAGGTTGGGATAGAAAGAAGGGTGGGAATGCAAAGCACTAAGAGAACAAAACTGCTCAGTAGTAGCTTGGCGTAAGCATTATGACGAAAGGTGAATCGTTCCTCTGGTTGCAAAGCTGTTATCCTATATCGAGCGGGCTTAGTCGGACATTTGGTTGGGCCACTGGTTGGTGAAGTTGAGCGACGGGGGCATCTTCTGGAAACGTCCACCCCGCCGCGCAAGCGGTGTTGGATGGCTGCGTTTGCCGAGCCGTTTCAACAAACAATCAGGAGGACCCAATCAGAATGCGAAGAACTCCCACCTGCTGGCTCGGCGTTGATTGTCGGTCGGGCTGAAGTGGAGTGCTCCGAAGTCTAGCCAGCAAGCCTTGGGTTGTTTGTAAGATTCATCACTTCACTGCAGTATTTTCTCCCTTGACAATTCGAGTATGATAGCACTTTCTCAGCAGGATTCATGACTTTCTTCAAACCCCACTAGTTTCCTTGTAGGCAACCTATTGTGCCAGAGTGTTTTGAAAACGAATTGGGAATCTCTACCTGCGCTGGTCTGCGAAGATGGTTCGTTACTTGCGGACGAAATGTTGGCCAAGTGGCTCAACGCGAGTGGCTGTCAATGACCTGTAAGAGACGTTCAAGTCAAGGTGGCTTCTGGTGAGGCCCAGTTCCCCTTGCCGTTCATTTCATGCTTCTCTGGATCGCGGCGCACATGGTTTGGCTCCTCAAGTCGCGGCTCGATTCAAGTCGCATGACGGGGCGCAGGTTATGGTACCCCCGCAGACGAGAGGCCCGCCCCTGACCGCAATGCGTATTTTCCGCACCATCATCCAAGGGCGCCGCTTGCGGATTGAATGGGCGGAACAAAACAAGGTGATTTGACCCTGGTGGGACGCTTCCAAAAGTTTCCTCCGTAAATCATGGATGTTATTCGGAAGGGTTTTTCAATGCAGGAAAACGGGCATTTACAGCGAAGACAGTGGACCCTGCATATCCGTAACGAATTGAAGAAGCCACTTACAGACTGAATTTACTGTACAGCTGAAATCCAGTGCCGGGTTTGGTCGGTCCCCAACGGGTGAATTCGAAAAACGGCTCTGTGCCTCCCATTTTCCCCACCACTCCCATGCATGCCCCTCAACCTCCTCCGCCAAGCACATCCATCCATCGGCTATGGATCAGGGCATGGAAAAAACAGATGAACACACCCATTCATCCATCCATTGGCTCAACAGCAGCTGAAATATCCGCCGAGTAGTAATCGCGGGTCAGCAACTTTCATGTCACCCCGAGCGAGCCCCACACGGCATCAGCGGCTGCAACAAAAAACTCCGCAGTGCAGCTGATAAGTCCACCGCTTCTCAAGCTTTTGTTGCCTTTGGGAGATTCATTCCTTGGACGCCACGTGAGGTGAACGAAAAACTCCTACAGCCAACTCGTTCGCCAGCATTTCATGGTGGTGACAAGCGAGTGAAGAAATAGGCAAATAGTAGGCGAGGCACAGGCACCCTTCATCGCTACGAGCAGCATCGCCAGCAGCGTCAGATTCAGCAGAAGCAGTAGAGGCAGCAGCATGAGCAAGCTCGAGAGATTCCGTCCGCCCGCGCTTCAGTTGCCCGACGATCTCGATTCCTCCGCCGCGTCACTCTCCCGCCCCAAGAACCCGCACCCGCTCCTGCCAACCCAGCCGGATCACTCCCTCGCCAAGGTTCGATCGCCCGCCACGTCAGCCGCGTGCAACCTCAAACGCATCGTGCTGCAGCGCTGCCACGTGTGCAACCTGCTATCCATCCCGCCCTGTCGCACGTGCCACCTCTTCCTCCCGAGTTCCTTTCCCGCCAAAACCGCCGCTTCCTCCCACCCTCCACCATCGCAACCGCTACGACTCACCTCATCCTGCGGCGACGATTCCTCCCATCCAGACGACCTAAGCAGCGGCGACGGCACCGATCTTGCCACGTGGCTAGATCTCCGCAACTTGCCGTGTCGCATGATGGAGCTCGCCTTATCAAGCTACCCGTCGAATCCCCATAACTCCCTCGTTGCTGACCGCCACCGCCGCTTCGAGCCACGAGGAGGTCCGAGCGGCAAGTGCGGAAAAGATTCACTCCTCCAAGGCGCAACCGGCGAGGGAAGGCTGGGGGAGTGTCAAGCAGCGCACGGGGGAAGTCGCGCGCAGGGCGGAAGCGGAGACATTACCCCGCAGAGCGGGTGGACTGCTGCGCGCGCCGCCGCTGCTGGAAGCACTTGGGAGCTGCACTCTCTCTGGGAGTGGGCGGGGCAGATGCTGACGTGGCCGGAGAGCGCGCACGCGCAGCAGGTGCAGTATACCCGCTCGTTGCGGCACACAGTCACTGCTCCTGCTCGGCTCACCAATGCGGCCTCCAACCCTAGCCACGAGCAGAGCAGACCCCAAGAGGCTGCGTCGGGGGAAGCGGGCGGAAGAGAACCAGCAGCAGCAACTCACATGCCCCCCTCTCCCAGGCGATGCGCGGACGAATCAAAAGCGGTGGGATGTGGGGAGGAAGTGAAGGCGAGAGCGGAGGGTGCGGGATGCAGGGAGAACGGGAACGGGGACGCGACGAGCCCCATTCTGGTGTGGCTGGAAGAGGCGCGCAGCTTGTTTCTGGGGGAGGGTGATCCTTGGAGGAAGATTCCTCGAAATGGGTGGGGCAATGTCCATGCACATAACGCAGGGCATGCTGCAGTTGCGTGCGGTGCTATGAGATGCAGGACAAGCGTTCCGGTGAATGGGCGCACGGCACACGTGCAGTGATGCTAATGGAGGGAGGGAGTATTCCGGAGCGAGATTTTTGTTGGGTTGAGGGGGGGTATGCATAAGCGGGGAGGAGGATGCAACTGGGAACACATACCATGCACACGCAGCTGTATGGTTGTTCTGATGAACAAGTAGAGGAGTCAAGTGGTTGGTGAAAGGACTTGGATTTGCAAGCGTAGAAGGGCACGAGAATGTGTCTTGGTAGGAGTATTTTTGGATAAGCAGGTCATATGCCATAGGTGTTTGTGAAAACATCACATTCCATGTATTTTCCTGTCAATATTAGTCCAATCTAGTTGGAAATATGCACTTATTCATTTCAAGAAGGGTGGTTTTCATCTCATGCCAACTAATGCATGAACATTTGCGTGTGAAAGCATCCATACAGAACACTCATCTAAACATTCAAAATTCCCAAACGCGTCCAGCAGCTACAGTGCAGACTACTGTACCGCGCATCCCTGAGATCTCCCCCTTCGCGGCTTCGCCGACCTTGCCGCTCAGTTTTCTCTTCTTCACCATCAGTCACGCGGATTCACCTCACAAATCTCTAGGCCTGCTGTGCCAGTGAAGAGCTCACCCCGATCTCAGCTTTCCTGATACGGGTTCTAATTCCTTCGTAATTTCGGACGGATCCAGGCCTTGATCGGCGCCCGGTTTGCTTTCGTAGGAGCCGCGATGGCGTTAGCGTTCGACGAGTTCGGGCGGCCGTTCATAATCATACGCGAGCAGGAGACCAAGTCGCGCGTGAAGGGCCTGGCGGCGCAGAAGGCGAACATCCTCGCCGCCAAGTCCGTCGCGAAGATCCTCCGCAGCTCGCTCGGGCCCAAGGGGATGGACAAGATGCTCCAGAGCGGCGACGGCGACGTCACTATAAGTACGCAAACGCGCAGCAGTATTCGACACGAAGCCATAGCAGGCTGCTCGTAGATCTTGGATCTGAACTCGTGAAGCCGAGGCATTGTACAGGGCTTAGGAAACTGCTGTGCAGATTCTTTTTTGCTGCGTTCTGCGATCTCCGCAACCCAAGCGTAGATTTCCTCGCTTAGTCAAACCAGATCTGCATTCCTGAAGCCGATCGGAACCTTCCTGGTTATTTAGCAGCCGATGGACCTTTCTGATGCAGGATTTTCTCTCTCCCTTGCTTTCTCTCAGCACAGTGTGACTGGCATCAGCCGGAAACAACTATTCCAGTACAAGCGTTTCGCCCACACGTTTTTTCGGCTCTCCTTCCCGATTCATCACCGCCGTTTCCCTTCCCCTCCAAATCCTCCGTCCCTCTGAATCCCCCACTCTCAGCCAACGACTTCGCGACGATCCTGGAGCAGATTCCCGTTGTGACTTTTGAGTCGACTCAAAAGTCACCTCGTTTCCCTTCCCCTCCAAACCCTCCGTCCCTCTGAATCCCCCACTCTCAGCCAACGACGGCGCGACGATCCTGGAGCAGATGGAGGTGGAGAACCGCGTGGCGCGGCTGATGGTCACGAGCCGGGTCTCAAGCCCCGGGTAACCCGATCCCTTCCCAATCGCCCGTGCTTCCACTTCTCCCATCCCTCTGAATCCATCTCGCCAGCCAACGACGGCGCGACGATTCTGGAGCAGATGGGTGTGGAGAAGCGCGATAGGGGGCTTCCTCAAGAGGCGCCGCTTAACGCCACCCCTCTTCCCTTTCCCGTGCCTCCAAACCTCACCCCTCCCCCTTCTCCCAGCGAACGACGGCGCGACGATCCTGGAGCAGATGGAGGTGGAGAACCGTGTTGGGCGGCTGATGGTGGACCTGTCCAAGAGCCAGGACTTCGAGATCGGCGACGGCACCACGGGGGTTGTCGTCACCGCGGGGGCTCTTCTCGAGCAGGTGCGTGTTAGATGTGGTGCTCCCGGTGACTTCACGCCCATTCAAGTCACCTTGTCAAGAGCCTGGACCTACACCTTGAGACCTTGACCTTGAGATCGGCGACAGCACCACTAGGGTCGTCATCACCGCGGGTGCTCTTCTTGAACAGGTGCGTGTTTCTTTGATGCTCCAAGTAGCTTGCATGCCCATTCGAGTCACCTCGTCAAGAGCCAGGACCTCGAGATCGGCGACGGCACCGCTGGGGTCGTTGTCAAGCGCTGCTCGCGCAGGTGTGTGCGAGTCCGTCGAAGGTCTTGCTTTTGTTCTCATCGCTTCTCCCGGTTGACTTGCCTTCAGATCTCTTATTCCGACAGCGTAGGCGCTCTTCTTCTCGAAAAGCGTGAGAATTCGAATTGCGATTAAGAGAAAACCAGTCTGCCACACCGGGTCCTGCTCCTTCCAACTTCGCCAATCCCTTCTCGCACCTGTGATTTCAAATCACGTCTATCTCGTCACTCATACGCGGAGCCCCTCCTCTCCTCCTCCGCGCCATTCACCATATCCGTGCCTGGCGGATATGGCGTCCAGGAGGGCAGCGGCGCATCCCGTTCTTTTTTTCTCTCCTCCCTCCTTGCCCCGTCAACCCACCCCCTTGCAACCGCCCACACCCACCCAATCCCTTCTCCTTCCCCTATCACTCGCAGTCCGAGGCCGTTCTCGATCGCGGGATCTTCGCGGGGAGGGAGGGGATGCGGCGGCGATCGTAGAGATAGCGTTTAAGATCGCGGCGCTGCATACCCCTCTGTACTCAAACCCCAACCCTCCTCCCCGACCCCCCCCGCCCCCACCTCCCGTCTTCCTCAGAGGCCGAGGCCCTCCTCGATCGCGGCATCCACCCCATCCGCGTGGCGGAAGGCTCCGAGATGGCGTCTAAGATCGCGGCAGCGCATGCCCTTCTCGTTCGTCTGCCGTCTCTACCCAACCCCCAACCCTCCTCCCCAAACCCCAACCCTCCTCCCCAAATCACAACCCCCCCCTCACTTCTTCCTCACAGGCAGAGGCGTTGCTGGGCTGCGGCATCCACCCGATCCGCGTGGCGGAGGGGTACGAGATGGCGTCCAAGATCGCCTTGGCGCAGCTCTGAGTCCCTCTGGCCCCGGGGTGCCCTCTCACCCCACCCCCTTTCCAACCCACTTCTCGTTCTCCTCTCGCTCACAGGCCGAGGCATTGTTGGACCGCGGCATCCACCCGATCCGCGTGGCGGAGGGGTACGAGATGGCGTCCAAGATCGCCTTGGCGCAGCTCTGAGTCCCTCTGGCCCCGGGGTGCCCTCTCACCCCACCCCCTTTCCAACCCACTTCTCGTTCTCCTCTCGCTCACAGGCCGAGTCATTGTTGGACCGCGGCATCCACCCGATCCGCGTGGCGGAGGGGTACGAGATGGCGTCCAAGATCGCGGCGGCGCATCTGGACGCCATCGCCGAGACGTTTGAGTTCTCGAGGGACAACTTCGAGCCGCTCGTCGAGACGTGCATGACGACGCTCTCGTCCAAGATGTGAGTGCGCGCTTGTAGCGAGTGTGCTTCTAACGAGTGTTGTCCACGCTCTCCTTCAGATATCAGTGTGCGCTTGTAACGGGTGTGCCATAACCGAACGGAGGACGTTCGTCGTGATAATGACGATGCTGTCGGGCACAGTCGCATCATCAGCGAGGGGAGGTTGGAACTCGCAGGGTCGCTCGTGGCCGCTGGCTCACATTCGTGCCCCGTGAGTGGACATCGGCACGGGGGCGGAGGACGTTTTAGAGTCGGAGCCTAAGATGATCCTTTACCCGTTCTTCTCCAAGCACCCCTTCTTAACTTTTGAGTCGACTCAAAAGTAGCTCTCCCACGCCCTTCCGTTCCTTGCCACGATCTCGCTTCCTCACCCAGTGTTGAACGCTGCAAGCGTTCCAAGTCCGCTTCTGCCAGGACGGCCTGAACCTGGAGCTGATCAAGGTGGAGGGCAAGACGGGCGGGCGGCTGGAGCGTCGCCCCTCATCCACTCCCTTTATCCCCCCCCCCTCCCTCCAACCCGCTTTCTCACTGTCTGCCTTTCCTCGCCACGCTGTCTCTTCCATCTCCCGCGTCCCCTGCCGCAGTGTGGGGCGCTGCAAGCGGCAGATGGCAGAAATCGCAGTGCAGGCGGTCCTCGCAGTGGCGGACTTGGAGCGGCGCGACGTGAACCTGGAGCTGATCAAGGTGGAGGGCAAGACGGGCGGGCGGCTGGAGGAGACCGAGCTCGTCCGAGGCATCATCGTGGACAAGGACTTCAGCCACCCGCAGATGCCGAAAAGGATCGAAAATGCCAAGATCGCGATCCTGACGTGCCCGTTTGAGCCGCCCAAGCCCAAGACTAAGCATAAGGTTGATATTGACACGGTGGAGAAGTACCAGCGGCTGCAGGAGTCGGAGCGGAAGTACTTCGACGATATGGTGCAGCAGTGCAAGGTGAGAGCAGGGGGGGGTGTGTTGGCGGGGACGACTGAGAGGGGAAGGGAGGGGGCAGGTAAGGGAGGGTTGGGAGAAGTACCAGCGGGTGCAGGAGTCCGAGCTCAAGTACTTTGACGATATGGTGCAGCAGTGCCCGGTGCAAGGGGCAGCAGTGCAAGGTGCGAGGGGCAGCAGTGCAAGGTGCGAGGGGCAGCAGTGCAAGGTGCGAGGGGGGGGGGGAATCTCTGCTCACCCCGAATGTCTGCTCACCCCGAATGTCTGCTCACCCCGAATCTCTGCTCACCCCGAGTCTCTGCTCACCCCGAGTCTCTGTACAACAGGACGCAGGAGCGACCCTGGTGATCTGCCAGTGGGGATTCGATGACGAGGCCAACCATCTGCTCATGCACCGCGGGCTGCCGGCCGTGCGCTGGGTGGGCGGCGTGGAGCTGGAGCTGATCGCCATCGCCACTGGTGAGAATGCTTGCTTCTGTGCACAGTGGCAGTAGCGTGTTACTTGTGTAGAATTGGTCGCTTTTGCACCGGGGCCTGCCTGCCGTGCGGCGTGTGCTGGGTTGGGGGCGTAGAGCTGGAGCTCAGCGCCGTCGCCAGCGGTGAGTGCGCTCGCCATTGCTACCAGTGACTTGTGGGGCTGATTGTTTGCTGCTCGCACCTATCAATCAAGGGCTGTCAGCACACCGATGCTTCCCTGGCACTAGCCTCTCATGCACCAAGGGCTCTCCCCTAGCCGTCCGCCAACTCTCTCTCTCTCTCTCTCCCTCGCTGTTCTTGCCCCACTTTCCCTTCCTTGGCCGCGGCTCTTGTCCCGCTATCCGTGCGTGCAGGCGGCCGCATCGTGCCTCGATTCCAGGAGCTCACCCCCGAGAAGCTCGGCAAGGTGAGGCATGCGGGGGGGGGGGGGGGTGGGCGGTGTGAGGAGAGGCGGGTTTACTCCCAGGAGCTAACTCCCGAGAAGGTGGGCAAGGTAAGGTAAG